GCAATTTCTTGTGGCCGAACCTAATACATCCCATGCCACGTGGAGATAATGAGCGCATCAGCACCATAATGGTGTTTGACAGCATCATCTGAGTCATCTCACAGTGTAAAAGGCTCTCGCTTGATCTTATTATATTTTAACATAAAAATTCTCCAAAAGTCATCAGACGAAAATCGGGCACCATTAGTCAGATGGATATAGCAGTTGCCCTAATGATTACAGAAACAGCAGTGCTCGTGTCCCTGTCCACATGTGTTATTCTGCAGCATTTACGGGGCAGTTCCAGGCCCTGCTTCTGAACTCGTGCTCTCAGAAATCCTCAGAACCCTGAGAGCCAGCGGTTGCCAATTTCCTCTGTGGCTCAGGTCTGGCCCCTGGCTGACAGGATTCTCTTTGTGCCACAGTGCCTCTTTTTCCTAAAAACCTGCATCCCATCACGTTGGATCCAGTCAGTCACTGCCACCATGCTGGGAAGTGATTTGGGGGCCAGCAAGCCAATGAAAATGAGACCAGGAAATTTGTCCATCTCTTCCTCCCCCGAGTGAGGAGTGCCAGAGTCCAGAATTGAGTTGCAAGTGGCCAGTGAGCTCCTCTCCCCCACTGACCTTCGCCTGCCCAAAGACCATCTTCAGGCCCCCGATCAGTGTCCACAGAGTGGCCATCATATGGTTCCTGAGTCTAGGACACTGAGGGACATGTTTCCTCCAGCAGGCACATTTGGCACATTATTTCTCACAGCATGTTCCCGTTGTAATATCCAGCTTTGACAGCGCACATTCTCCGAGCGTATATGTGAAAGTGTCAAAAAAAAAGTGCTAACATTTCTACTAGTTCAGATCATTAATTTTCTCAAGGAATTACTAAGTAAAATGACGTTTTAAAAAAGCCCTCCTACACTGCCATTTCTAAAGTTTTATTTGGAATGTTGTGTGTCCTTAACTGCTTTTTTTCTTTGCACTTAGCTTATTTTTTTTCTAGTTTAAAGTTCATAGCTCTTTTATGTGATAAATATTTTTGTACATTTTAAAAAATTATGTAGCAAACAATGCTGTTTGGTAGTTTTTGCTGGTATATTAAACCCAAAGAAAGTAAAGAGAAGTTGCTTTCTGTGACCTCTTACCCTTGATTTCACAGACCCTGACGTCAGGATACCTGTACAGTAAACTACAATGGGTGACAGATGTTCTCCTATAACACCTTCACCTACCTGCATCCTAAGAGACTACTTGGAGATCCACAAATATCTTCCAGTATTCCTGTATCACTCTTTCATTAAAGTCCAAAGTGGACTTAAGTTCCATTATAGAGATTTTCCCAAGACTTCTGGAGATTTGAGATGGAATCAGAAGTGCTGTATTCTCTTAGGCTCCTCTGACTCTGAGTTCTTGCTTTCTCTGAGCTCTCTCCACATGTTCAGCCACACTTATGAGGACGGTCTGCATTCCCTCAAGCACCGCAAAAAATGAGATGTTACACATCATATGCATTTATTGGTGGTTTACAATAGTAGAGAGGGATTGTAGTATAGAACAGAAAACACCTTTAAATCGACTATGTGACATCTCTGCTCTGTAGGTCCTTGAGTGTCCTCCTCACAGGTATGTCCACATGGTCTGGTCTTCCCTAGGACTCAGCCTTGGGGCCTTCAACTAGGGCTTATTCTTCCTACTCTGATCCTTTTACTGTCTCTAGCCTCCCCCAGAGTTTCAACCTTCCCCCTCACTCTGGTCCTCCCAGCCCACTAGAGGAAAACTGAAATTTCTCTAAAGTAGTTCTGCAGAGCAATTGAACACTCCTTTTCCCCATTGCACGGGTATCTACTTTTGCATAACTGAAAAGATCCACCAACTGGCTACCTTAAACAAAGAGCCATCTCCATCTACCACTGTGATGATTTCAGGGGCTTTCCCAGGAAGGAGAAGGCATTCTGATCCTCCTACGTTTGTAAAGCTGGTGTTGTCCCTTACACTGACTTTCTTTTGCCCACTGGGCCAATCTGGGTTGACCATAAGCCAGAGTTTATCTAGTAACATATCCTCTTCTTCTTCTGCTCCCTTCCAAGCATTTGTTTGAAATTTTCATGACTCAAGAAACCAGGTTTGAGTGCCCATGAAATCATTACTTTTCCTGAGGACTGAGAGCTAATCTTTGAGTCAAAGTTCTGGGCCAGTTTTTATTTTTCTCTATTCTCAGTTATCATGTGATACAGTGTCACATGAGCTTGAGTCTAAGTCATTTCTTTCCATCCAGAACTAAACTTGGTTTGGTTGTGATTCACCTGTAGACATGCCATCCACCACACTTTAACTAATCTGAAAGGCAAGTATAAGATGAAGCCTATGTATTGTAATAATAACTTAAATGGCTACCACGTACTAAGCACTTTCTACCTGCAAAATACCATGTCTAATAAAGCTTCCTCCATTTAAGTTTTATTAAGCATTGTGTGATAGAAATTATTAAGCTATCTTACAGGTTAAGAAAAACAAACAAACAAAAACCCAGAAGCACTGATAGGTCATGACTTGCACAAACTGACAGAAACAAAAAGCAGGATTAGAACTCGAGTCTTTTGTCTCCAGGATACAATTTCCCAACTGTTGTATCACATCTCTACACAGACGATAAAGGGCTAGCATGGTGTGTATATGCCAATGGGCCCATGGCTTCAGGTCGGTAATAGACAAAGTCTAGAATTCATTAAAGCCAGTTAAAAGAAAAGGGAGGTACCACAAATTCAAGCATTTTCTTTGAACAGAGCTAAATTTATGTTTGATTTAATTACTACATTGCTGTTGCTTGGACAGCTTCTGATATTTACTTAATAATCTAGTTTCATCAGAATATGTTATAACGATCTTTGGCTTACTCATTTCCACTTTGTATCTCTCTGAGAAGTTTTTACGGTATGTCCAAGCCTGAAGATCATCCAATGGGTCCATTTTTCCAAAGCATGTAAAATCAAGCATCTTGATAATGTGTGAAACAAACATTAGTGGGAACTTAGAGTTGATTTTTATGGTGCTTCTAAAGGATGATGTTTGGACTGTGATTCAGAATGCTCTTTGTTACCTATCTTACATACTCAGAGTATTCGAGGTGTGCTTTCCCAGGCAGCATGGTTTTCTACTGAGCCTCCTTTAAAAATGGGCCCGTGCTGGTATGAATCCTGGTGAGTCATCAGTGCAGGATGCTGGGGAACAGCACGGGAAGGAGAGCGAGCTGCTGACAGACTCCCGAAGGTCCTCCTGCTCCTCGGTGTGCAGTCCCTGTGAGACTGCACAGAGGCTCCTCGGAGAGTCCTATTTTCTAAACATTTCCTAAATGCCCTGATAAAGAGTGTACAAGCCCTGGCTGGTGTGGCTCAGTGGACTGAGTGCCAGCCTGCGAACTGAGAGGTCCCTGGTTTAATTCCTTGTCAGGGCACACGCCTGGGTTGCAGGCCAGATTCCTGGTTGGGGGTGTGCAAGAGGTGGCCAGTCAATGTTCCTCTCCTTATTTTTCTCCCTCCCTTCCCCTCTCTTTAAAAATAAACAAATAAAATCTTAAAGAGATAAAAAAAAGTGTACAAGGATCTGAAAAAGACTAAGAAACTCATGACAGTGCTCTGAAAGCTAATCTAAACATCCACAATCCAAAAAAGAAAAGAAGTGGAAAACTCCAGTCATCCAAATGTTTTAACATTCAACATCTAGATGTTTTTGATGTTGGTATCATGTGAACAAAACCATAATGTTTTGTGTTTTGTTTTGTTATTTTTTTTTGGCCAGTGGCCCAAATTGGGTGGAGTGACCTGTACATTCCTAAGATTCTTTTATCTTTTAGATGATGAAAAGATTATGTTAAACTTGGAGTTTGGTGATGAAAGGGACCTTGGAAATCATCTAGTCTGTTGGGTGAGTGCCCATGAGGATTTCACTTGGATATCTTAGTGACACTACTAACTTCAGGGACAGAGATGAAACAGACTTCTGCTCCTGGTTGAGTCTTCTTACTCTTATGTCAGGCTGGATATTCCTTTCTAAGGGAGAGGAGGGTGGGCAGCTAGAATTTTCCACCTTTAACAGTGGTTAGACTTTCTTGTTTCCAAATACAGACATTATTAGGCCTGCATGGGTAGGAATTACAGCATAGATTGTTGCATCATTATTATCATCATCAAATATGTGGGCTAAACACACAGTGTATGAAAAACCCCTGACTCGGCTCAACAGAGCATGGGGAGAGGTTTACGACACCAGCCCACACTTTAGTTCATAGTGATGCCATTGAAAATAATCATTTATGCAAACCTAGTATTTTAGAGAACATAATGCAGACTAAAGAAAGTCAGGCCTTCTTTAAATAGATTTTGAATGCAACCCTCCCTAAAAGCAACTTTTTCATGAGAGCATGTATGTAATGGAATTTTGAAAGTATTTGAGAAATGCAAAGAACTTCATTTTCCTAGCATGGCTAAGGGAAGGGGGCACGTGTGATGGGAGGGGGAGTAGGGTGTGCAGTGGCTAAGCCTGTGAATGGGTCATACCAATGTAACTTCAATAGCATAAAGATAGTTTTTTGATGCTATTGACAGAGCTATGATGAAAGTATATGTACAGTGAGGAATGTAGGAAAGACAAATAAGAGTATATGAAAAAACTTATGAAAATATTTTTATTGTGCTTATTTTTGCTTTTAAGAAAGTCCGGAAGGGTCATATTTTAGATACGTTGCATCCAAGCCCTTATCCTCCAAAAAGAAACATGAATTTTCTTCTCTAATGAGAACAAAATTCATTAGGTATTTGGTATTATTTCAGAGTTCCAGCTTTTATTTCATGCCATCCCTTTTGAAAACATTGAAAACAGTGAAGACCTTGACCCTGCCAGGCTGAGAGTAGTGTTCTTGGTGCCTTGGGGAGTCCCCAAGACTACTAGCCCTCCTATTTTTCTTCCTTGAGAAGAACACCCCCCCCCCCCTGGCTATCCCACCAGCAACACTGCCGCTACCACGCACCAGCATAAAGCACAGATTGCTGCCCAGCTCCTTGGAGAGGGGCCAGTGCATTTGTCAGGAATTGAAAAGTTTTGGAGCCAGTTCGAGGACTTTCTGGTACACAAAGCGTTGGCTGGAAATGTGGTTAAGTATTAAATGGGATGTTAATTTTCATGAATATTTTCCTCATGGTTGTAGCTTGTGGTCATTGAGCAATTTAGCAATCACCATGTGGTCTGTTGGATACACAGCCTGGGTGAAGTTCAAGAAATTAGCAGCCAGTCAGTGGGGAGAAGGCCAGAGCTCAAATTTATGTGTGTTTTTGCATTCTTTTTTATTTTTATTTTTTCTTCTCCATGCCTCAGGGGATGGCTGATTCTTTATTAAATCTTTAGGTGCAACCACATGCCTGAGATCTGCACGTACCTCCCATTTGGTGTTCTTTCACATTGCCAGCCATGTCACTTAGCCTGTGTTTGTCAGGCTGGTACTCTAAAATCCAAGACTTGTTGGTCAGTTCATTCTTTGCCTCTTTGTGTAGGATATATCACCTCATTAGCTCCAAGGACACTTATGTTCAGGTGCAAGCCATTCCGAATTTCACTGTTTTCTTCAAAGTGATGGGTGTTTGTTGGACTTTTAGAGGTCACAGGCTGTAAGAGAAGATATTTGATATGAAGTCTATGGAAAATCTTGGCTGGTTATCTGACATGAATACCACCCTACTTTTATAGTGTGCCCTCCCTGCATCTCAAGATCTTAATTAGCTCTCATAACACCTGAGGAGGTGTCTAAGGCTGGAAATCTATCACGGTCCCCTTTTTACAGCCTCCTATAATCCATAGAGGAGGGTTGTGTGAACATGGGTTGCCCAAGATCACACAACTAGGACTTGAAGATATGTCTCCTTCTTCTCTGTCATTTATTCTCCAATTCAGTGACCTAACTATGTCATGAGGAATTTGTTTTTAATAAGAGAAACCTGCTGCTGACTTATCTTTCTAAATTTTAGTAAGTTATAGCAAGTCAGTTTTATTCTCATTTATTTATATCGCAGTATGCTTTCTTGAACAGAGGAAATAGCGCGCATGTGCTAGGAGTTGTGTGTGACACATGAGCCTTAGAGCATCTCATGGTGCAACCAGGGGGATGGGGATAGCACACAAATGGTGCCTGAGATGTTACTGATGAGAGTTTGAGACTCCTCTGCTGTGCTACCCACTGCTGGCTACTGTATTAAGAGGAGCTATTCCAACAGGGCACCTTTAATAATCCTCATTATTTAAATGCCACCCATGACAGAACCCAAGAAATCAGACTTTTCAATATCCTCGATCTCTTGTTCAAGGAAGGAAAGCTCTAATTTCTGATGTTTCCTCTTGAGAATTAAATAGTAAGTCAATCTGAAATAAATCTCTTAAAATCCATTCATAAAAATTATTATTTATCTAGTTTAGGGATTATTCCACATATAACTAGTAATGTATAGTAAAGTACATGATATGTCTATATTTTATAAATATACATTATATATTTCTTTTCAAATATACACATCCATACATATAAAATATGTGAGCAACACATTTTTAAATTCAGTATTGTTAGAAAATAAATTCTTCTACGTATGTAAAATTTTGACTTTCTCATCTAAACACTTTTAAAAAATATGTTAACTGTACGGAAGGAATTTCCCATAAACTGTCTTACATACTTCCTTTTCAGGAAGAGAAGAAAAATATGAAACTCCTTTAGCCTTTTTTGGATGCTTGTGTCAATATTATCAACAGAACTTATTTGTTTTATTCTCTTACGAAGATACCCTTAGGTGCCGTGGCCTTGGAGATTATTTGCCACACTTTATTATATGTTTGTGTCTCTTTTCAGGATAACAACTCTGTGTTTTAGAAGTTTCACCCTGATATTCTCTGGCATTCTTGCAATTTGCTTCTTCTTACGCATGATATAAAAGCATAAATATTGAGTCTAAAATAAGAGTTTATAGGCTCTGAGTGATTAAAGCACTTATAAATTACCAGGGCTTTACTGTGTGAGATTATAACCCCAAACTGCTCATTCTGGGCACCCCTATTCTTTGTTATCTCTTTGGTTTCCGGGTGGGATATAAAAAGTGGAGGTTGGTTAATAGGTGAAGTGTTACCTCTCCATTAAAAAACAATGAGGTGCATATGAATGCTTTAAATTTTATGGTGTTAGCTTTGTTTAGGTTGGGATGACCAAAGGATAAGCACTCAGTGCTTCTGGCTGTGAGTCATAGGAGAGGAGTGTTTTTATTTGTGTTTTGTCAAGGGTGAACCCGGGAGCACACTACAAAAAGACGGGGCCTCTTTAACAGAGACCCCGGCTTCTGTTCTCCGGAGCTGCGTGGTGTTGGTTGGCTTCTGTTTTCCCGAGCTGCGTGGTGTTGGTTCGTTCCTAAAGCAGCGTGAAAGCGTTGATTTTCATTTTATGTTGTGCTTGTGAGGCATTAGCATGATGTTCTAACACTTGTAAATGAATACAGCTCTTGCCTAATCTGTCATTTTAATGCCTTATAGATTTTATTTCACTTGATGTTGTACCAGATTCTCAATAATAATAATCAACTGCTTTGTTGTTCTCTTGCAGAAATTAAATTTCTGCAGTGGGTGTGCAACTAATAAAAGATGTTGCTTGAGGAAACAAAAAATAAATATGATGAATCATAAAAGTTGGGAAGGGGGAGAGGGGAAGTTGCTCCTCGATGAAAGACAATTACCGAACCCGTGGTGAATGTGTCCAATTCTCATACTGTCAACAGCTTAATAACCCTCCCGGAGTCTTTAGCCGCACTCCTCGTATCTTCGAGTGTTAACCTCATGGACTTGGTGTTTTCCCCGATTTCATTTAGAAGCATTCAAATAAAAGGTGAGGGAGTAAAATAACTCTCCTCTTTACTTTGCACCCTAGATAAGTTTGCTCAGGGTTGCCATTTTGCCACTCACGCATACCTTTTATCTTTTCCCCTGTCACGAGCTATCTCTAGAAGAGCAGCATTAAAGGCAGCTGTGTGGGACTCAGAGTATTGGCAAAAACTGTGAAGTGGAAAATAAACAGTGTGTCTATCACCGTGCTACAGGAACACAGCAATCATGGCAGAGAAATGACAGTCAGTGGCAAGCAACTAATTGGTCACCAGCTTTGGAGGAAAGTCTTCCAGACCTCTGCCATTTACCATGTTTTTTAGTGAAAAGATGATGTGGGGGCTCTAACCCCTGGAAGAAAGAGAATGAAGAGTTAAGGTGGCAAGGCTGGGCAGGCACTTTGGAGACTGAGTGATCGGAGACATCCTATGCTAGAAAAATAGTTGACTCCCTGAAAAAGAATTCATTCACCCTCTCATGCACAGGTATTGTGTAGGTCCAACATCGGTTATGTGATGAATGTTGTATTTCACATAGCTTCTGCCTGAGAAACCTAGGCTCAAGTGAATTCATAGTGGTGACTGAATTTTCACTAGTGTCTGCCCTCCCCCCCGCCAATTTTGTCCATTTAATTTATATTTTCTTCTGGAAAGATTGATGCATGGATGAGATAAAGGAAAGCAAGAGGGAATGTGATCATCTACCAAGAGGAAATGGGTGGTCTAAAACATAAACATTTAACTAAGGAAAAGAGAGGCAAATGTGAGGTGACAGACATTTGTACTGCCAGATCTAGAAATGTGTAATATTAAATTATGTTAAAGTGAAAAACCTTAACATATAATTGAATTTAAATAAGCATGTGAGCCCCATCCCAAACTGGACATTCTATATGGGGAAACAAAGGATTAAGAAAGAGTGCCTCATCCAAAGAAGCACTTTGTTTATGTATTTAATGTATATCCACAGAGGGTGGCTCCATTCAGTACAGCTTGGTTGAATGATGCCTTGGTGCATACTGAGTTGCAAACTCAAAAAAGCAAGACATCATCCTGGTTGGTTGCCTTAATCCATGTGAAAATATAATCTAAGAATTGTCAAATACTTTAAAATCATGTAATAGCTTCATAAATTTATGCACTCTTTAAGTGATGTTAAGCCTTGCACAGATGAATTTTGGAGGGTCCACAAACCTCCTGGAATTGTACCTCTTATTTTGCATGGATGTGTGAGCATTTTGAAGGTGCTGAACAGGATCATTAGCTTTCCTTAGATTCTCAAAGAGGTGAAAGACCAGGAGGAAGCTAAAATACACTTAAGCATGTAATCTAAAGAAAAAGGAAAGAATGAAAACTAATAAATGTAAGGACACCTAGGATCTAGTTGTTTATGAAAGTCACATCTAAGTAGGAAAGGATTGATTAAAAGCATTTTTTAAAGTCATTTGCTTTCATAACTTACTTTTAATCAAAGCAAAGAATCATCTTAGAATTTAAAATGGGATCCTTTTTTGTCCCTATGACTACTTTGCATACTTAAAATAAATATATAACCTAAATTTGTATTACTATCCTATGTGTGCTGTGTATCCTATGTATTTTATTTTTTACCCCTCTTTTGCCTTCCCTAAAGCAATAACGTATGGTTTGCCAAGGATTTGCGTTGAACAGTACTCATGGTCACCATGAGAACGGGCCTGCCTGACTGTAGGAACACAGCTGACCCTGCACCTCGCTGTTGCATCGGCGACCCATCGCGGTGTGAGTCTCTGCTTCCCATGTGAGGCCTCCAGCCTCAGAGTGAGCCCAGCATCATTATTGAGGCAGGCTCATTTTTGGAGATTTTGGATTTTCCAACAGGAAAATTTACCTGCAGGACTGCATGATGGCCTTGCAGGACTTTCCTTAGAAATAAAGGCATGGTATTTAGGATTCTTCTGCTCAGTCCTTCAGCCTTCCCTCCCTCCTTCGCTCAGAGAGCCTGAAGGCTCTTCCAGCCTCTCCTGCCTTCCTCCCCCGATTGCTTTCATAGATGTTTCCTCTAACACATTTCTTGCACACTGAATCCCATTTTGGTATCTGTTTCTTGCAGTGTTACCGGGGAGACACTCAAGTCAGGGAGACCTCCAGAGCTTGTTCCTCTGTTTTTGCCTTCCTCACAAGAGACAAATTCAAGCAAGATGCAAACACATATCATGGATATGAGAGAGCAAGTTTATTTACAAAACACATAGGATCATGAAGATGCAAGAGACACCCGGCTATTCTGGATGCCCCATGTATACAGGAAATAAAGTTGTTAGTAAATTTGCTAGTAAGTTTCATTTACACACTTGAGCTGAGGCTACAAGTGGACACTCAGTTAATCTGAGTGTGCTAAACATTGGAGTTCAGGGATTATACACCTTAGTCAGCTTTTAGGTTCCCCCTCCTTCTTCACCTTCTAAAAGTCGGGAATCATGTGCAGCTACAAAGTCTTTCTTTCTCAGCTAGTAAAGGCTCTTTGTCTTAGTTAGTAGAGCTGCTACAGAGGCTCCCTTTCCCAGTACAGAGTCTCAAGGACTCCCCTCCTCCTGTGCTATCCGTGCTTGTGATGTTCGGAATGCCCAGCATTTTTATCTGACCAGGCTCAGAACTGCTGTGTAGTGGGTGAAATATGTCTCCCTCATGCTCCCTGCCTTAGTTTACTACCTATCCTACCTAAGAGGAGGATCTGGACTAATGTAATAATCAAATTCCCATTTTTTCATCATC